ACTGTCACACTCAGGGCAGGGCTGATGGGGAGGTTATGGCTCTACCCTGTCACACACAGAGCAGGGCCTGTGGGAGGGGGGGGGGGTTGGGGCACCGCACCCTGTCACACACAGAGCCGCAGGGCGATCAGGGGGTTTGGTCGCTGCCCCGTCACGCTGATCGGGTGTCAGGAGGCCTCGCGGCTCCGCTGATCCCGGTGCTGGGAGGCATATTACCCTTTTACTATATAGGATAGAGGCCTGGGGGCCGGCTGGTTTGCCCTGAAGGGTGTCCTGGATCAGGGTGGGGGTCCCCACTGGGGTGCCTGGCCAGTCTGGGTGAGGAGCTGAGGGCTGCTTTCAGGCTGGCAATTGACTGAAGCTCCCAACCACTCCTTTTTTTCTTTTACTATTTTTTTTTTTTTATTCTGGGCCAGCTTTAGCTCTGGCTCTAGCTCTGAGGCTTCCGCTGCTATAATCGAAACAATGTATAACTCTAGCTCTGAGATCCCGGCTGGCTGAAAGTTTTTTTCTGGGGTTTTGTTTAGCTTCTATATTTGCAACATAGTTTCTTAGAGTTGTAGCTCAGAGGCCGGCAAGTCAGGCGGGGAACGTTGCAGTCTGCAGTCACTGGAGCAAGCAAGCCTCATGTTCGCTTCCAGCTGCCTGGCTGCCGGCCGCCATCTTGGCTGACAGTTAATTTGCATAAGGATATGCTGATTAGCCAATGGGAAGGGTAGCGGTCGTACGCTAATTACCATGTTTCTCTTTTATTAGTGTAGATAGTTTTTCTTGAAATATTAATGTTTATTGCATGTAACATATTTAAAATCGTTCTTCTTGAAATAAAAAACTGGGGAAAAAAGCAAAACATTTGTTTTTAATTATAGTAAGTATTAGCGAGAGAGAAAGCGAATGTGGCAAAATGTCAGCAGTGATGAATTTAGGTGAAGGATACACAGGTATTCATTGCACTATTCTTTCAACTTTCCTGTAGACTTGAAATTTTCAAAATGCAAAGCTGGGGGAGAAAGGATACAATACTCACACCGCCGACCACCAGTTACTCCTAAACCCAAATACGACCGACTGCCCTTCCGAGCTGCTCTGCGCAGAGGGAAGGAGGACGAGGGGCCACGTGTGTGGGGGACAGGGTTCAATGCTGACCCAAGTGTTGGGATTTTTGATAAGTTATTCACTAAGTCATTCCACTTGGGTTTTTTAATGTCCATTTTACATGTGAGGAGCCTGACACTTAAGGAGATCCGGTATCTCATACAAGGACTCCGGCTGGAAGTGCCCGGAGAGCACATATTTACTTAAAAATATGTCAACAACCAATAACAGTGGGGTCAGATGTTTAAACAAACCTCAGTCAGTATACAGAGAGCAGAGACACAGTCCTCGGACAACCACGAGCACGCCGCGGACTGCGTTCCGCCCTCAACTGGGGGTCATAGGAGATCTCCTTCAGCGGCTGCCCTGACAGCAAACAGGCAAAGGCTCTGAGCTCTCTGTTCCCACAGCCCACGGCTCCATGACCTGGGAAGGGATGCTGTGTGGTTATCTCTGCGTGACTCATCCCAGCGAAGTCGGCCAGAAGGGGCATCGGCCCCGAACAAGAAAGGCAGCCCCCCAGGGCTGCGAGGTCCCACAGTCCAGAGCCCAAGGAACAGATGAAAGTAGCGGTCTAGGGAGGGAGGGAGGGAGGGAGGGCAGGGCTAGGGACTAGGGAAAAGGAGCTTCAATGAAACAGGCAGAAACAGTCTCATAAATGAACAGGTTTGGCTCACTGGATAGAGCGTCGGCCTGGGGACTGAAGAGTCCCAGGTTCGATTCCGGTCAAGGGATGTACCTTGGTTGCGGGCACATCCCCAGTAGCGGGTGTGCAGGAGGCAGCTGATTGATGCTTCTCTCTCATTGATGTTTCTGACTCTCTATCCCTCTCCCTTCCTCTCTGTAAAAAATCAATAAAATATATATATATTTTAAAAAATGAACAGCCCATCCTAAAAGACAGGCTCCCCTTTCTAGTGTTTGGGAAGATGTGGGTGAGGATTACCACCCCAGGCTTAGCCTTTTGTTCTTTTTAACCAGTGAAGTTGGAATGGCCTTGACTATCAGTAGCTTTCCAGCTTTAATTCAGGGCATTCCCCGTCACCAACCTCACCGTGTCTCCTGAAGGCTAAAACCAAGCTACCGGGTTAGAAAGCCGGGGTCCATCCAAAGGGAGGCAGCCGGTGAGGCGGTGGGCAGGGCAGGGCTCTGCTCTCGGCCTCCTGGGCACACCTGCCCCACCCTCCAGGCGCCCGCAGCTAGGATGAGACTCTTCTCTCAGGAGTGGGTCTTTGTCCCCTACCTCAAACCTGCACAGGTAGCACGGAAGTGGGAAATAAGACGTCTAAGGCAGAACAAGCCAGAACACTTCTGAAATCATCTTTATTATCTCTACGTGCAGGACAGTCCGCTCTTGGCTGGATCACAATGCCTGCGGGAAGACAGGCAGAACCGCAGCCCCAGGATAGGGGAGGGGGGAGTAGGGAGTGTGGAGGCGGCGAGGAGGGCCACAGAGAGCTTAAACCCTACAACCCAACGCCTAAGCACCAAGCACAGCAGAACTCAGAAGAAATGTCTGTTTATGCTCTTTCCAGATTTAAAAAAAATGAGTCATGTCCAGCATGCCCAGCCAAATTACTGGGCATCTGTGAGGCAGAGCTGCAAGGGTGAGGGTGCCAACCGGGTGTGGGGCCCCCACCCCACCCAGACTCGCTCTCTGTCTGCCGCCACCAGCGGGCAGCGCCTCCAGGAGAAGGGCTAATGAGCAAGATTTTGAGTCAAGACCAGTCTGACCCCAGGAAGGAGGAAGGAGGCAGCTGGCATCTGAGTTTCTTTTGTAAAATAGAAACATCAGGGCAACCACTGACCAGTCTTCAGCGTCACTGCTCTGCGTGAAAAAGCGACATCTTAGAAACGTGTCTTAGACATCAACCGAAGGACTTGTATGCATGCATATAAGCCAAACCAATGGACATGGACAACAGGGGGATGAGAGCATGAGTGGTGGGGGGGGGGCGGGAGGATGGGGGTTAATGGGGGGGAATGAGGACACATTTGTAATTCCTTAACTAATAAAGAATTTAAAGATTAAAAAAAAAAAGAAACGTGTCTTAGAAACACGTCACTTTGGGGAATGCACAGGAGACTCTGTGATTCCCGGGAAAGTGTAACGTTTTTGAACATTCGTCTGATATCAGGGTTCTTTTGACATAAGCCAATGAAAGCCTCATTTTCCTCTCAAGATGTTTCCTCTCTCGGGAGCGGGAGATACTGAGTCAGGCTGCAGTCACGGGCCTCCCACACAGGGGCTGCGGCCTCGGCGTGTGAACCGGCCACACAGCTGAAAGTCACTGCCACGGCCAGTCTTCCCATACTTCCAACACAAACAGAAGGGAATTCATTCTGTCTCAATTCAAAAAATTTTAATCTAATTACTGAAACTTGGGGGGGGGGGACCCTTCTTGATCATTTTATTTCCTCTCTGCTAAAAACTGAAAGAAGTCCTAATTCTAACAGAATATTAAAAGGCCAACGTCGCCACTTTCAAGGACTGCATTTTAAAAACGTGTTAAAAATACATGTACTTACAAGGAACTGCTGAATGAACCTATTAACGGGTTTGTAAGCATGTGAAAATATATTTCATCTTATTCAAAGTAGGAGAACGGGTTAGCCTCAAAAAGAAAATATAACCTAACTCAGTTCTTAACAGTGACACACGCAGGGGTGGGCAGCAGCAGGTCTGAACCCCAGGCGTCAGGAGGCAGGGCTGGCCCAGCAGGTCCCTGGATTCAGGCTCGCTTTCTGATCAAGTCCACGAGGATGTGCGATAATGCTGGTCGGTGATGGAGCGCTGACCAGGTGGTACCACGTGCCCTGTGCCACGGTGACCTTCTGAGTGGATTAGCCACAGTGATCAGCAGAACCGCACGTCTCTTCCCATACGAGCCACTGCAGGCCGGCGTGGCCGCCCCGGGTGTTCAGTGACTACACGTGCGCTCCGTGGCGGTGGGATCCTGGCTGAGCGGATGAGAATGAAACCAGCGGCGGCTGCAGCCGGGATCAGGCCGGAAGCCTCGGCTCCCGGTTACAGGGAGCCTCTACCCGGCCTTGTAAACAAGAAGGCATTCACTGTCCCCGACAGGAAGTGTGGAGACAGGCAGGCTCCTGGGTGGGTGACAGCTCAACCACTGGGCCGAGGACCCAGCTGGTCACAGCCTGCGAGCCGGGGCTGCCAGACCTGAGGGTCATTGTGGGTGTCAGTTGGCTACCAACAGGCCCAGCCAAGTCCGTCGTAAGGAGAGGGACCGTTTCCGCCTTGTTTATTTTTCTAGGAAGGAAGACACCTTTCCAGGAAGAACCCTGCAAACTGCCCTCAAGCTCGCTGGCCAGACCTGGGTTACACGCCCCTCCTCCAATCGAAGACAAGGGGCCACCTTGCCTGGTTTCAGCATTTAAGACTCACTCCCTGGTGGTGCCCTCCCCCGGGAGTGCACATCTGTATGAACCAGAATCAGGGCTCTTTTTTTTTAATATATATTTTTATTGATTTTTTTACAGAGAGGAAGGGAGAGGGATAGAGAGTTAGAAACATCGATGAGAGACAAACATCGATCAGCTGCCTCCTGCACACCCCCTACTGGGGATGTGCCCGCAACCAAGGTACATGCCCTTGACTGGAATCGAACCCGGGACCCTTCAGTCCGCAGGCTGATGCTCTATGCACTGAGGCAAACTGGTTAGGGCCAGAATCAGGGCTCTTTACAAGGACGAGGGGGGATGGTCCTGTTTAGGGGCAGATACAGCCCCGCACGGCCACACACTGCACCGTCGTGGGCAGCAGGGAGTAAACCGGGTGACCAATCCTTCCCCCCAAAATATCTAGATCCTGTTTTATGGTTTAAAACCAAGGGCTGACATTTGAAAGTTACATTTTGTAGAAAAGAAAACAATTTTTTAATATATTTTTAAAACTACCAGCCACCCTAGCACTTAATTTAATTACAGAAACAGCTAGTTACTGCTTTAATGAACCCTCACATTATCAAATTGTGGCTTTAAAAAGAACCTCTAGAATGTAAAATAATAAATGCAACCCAGATGTTCACTGAAAAATGAAAACAAGATTGTTTTTACTTCATAGCAACCAAATAGGTCAACCCATTTCCTCCTCCAGAGAATTCTCAGAGGACCACAAACTCCACGCGGAGAGCATGTGTTTCATATGTATCTGTCCACACAAGAAGGAAACTGCCGTCCAAAACAAACGGAGAACATGACATGTTCCCATGGAAGCGGGTCTGAGGCTGTGGCCAGGCCCTGTCTGCACGGTGCCAGACATCTGGATGAAGACTGGAAAAGAAATCGCTAATTACCCAGATATTGGGAAATACTTCTCCATCATCATTAAAATGTCTAGTTTTTATAGCAAGCTGCTGTTTTTATAGATCAATTACAGGACAAAGCTTTTCAAGAAGAGGAGTCAGTAATTAAAAATAGCTCGGCCGAGGGTTTCCGATGGGCTGACTGTCCCGTCCGAGCAGGGGTCCCGGTGTCTTACCGAGAACACGTCAGCTCAGAGTAAATTTGCTCGGCGGAAGTAAGCTACAAACTCTTCCTGGCCAACCCGAGGGACTCAGGTGAGCCTTTCTAAGATTTACGTAATGCTGAGAGATACTTATCAAAAACAAACAAGCGCACGCTGAACTGCCTGCAGCCAAGCTGTAAGACACTGCAGAGTCCTATGCCCACTCCGTTCTGTCTACCGGGGTATTGGCATTAACTATAAAAAGTGTATATGCTTAACTTCAAAAGTCAGGATGGAGACCATGTATTTTCTTCTCTTAATCTTCACCTGAGGACATGCTGAGGGGAACATCCATCAGTTGCCTTCCTTGCACCTTACGCTTCCCAACTGGCGATCAAACCCACAAGCCTGGCATGTGCCCTGACTGGGAATCGAGCTAGCAACCCTTCGGCACACAGGATGATGCTCAACCCACTGAGCACTCAGGCCGGGCACACCCATGTATTTTCTACTCTCACTTACATGAGTTACTATTGTCCCCCAATTTCAAAATATTTTTAAACAGCTTTTAGGAAACTTTGGTAAAACCTATTTTTTCACTTCAAAAGTGTCAATAGTCCTAGTCCACACTCGATAAGCCTGCTTCCCAAAGGCTCTGCCAGTAACTTCCTCAAACTAAGCTCTCTCTCCCGGCGTTATTCACCCGAGTGTGTGTGCCGGCAACGTGGCTGCTCTCACTCACCTGATGGGAAGCAGGCTGGCCTCCACCAAAAGATTCGCTGAGAAACGTGTGGTTGCCTTTTCCCCTCTCAGTCCCCACGGCGCTGGCTTCCTTACCTCTCTCCTCTTAACAAACTCCCACGAAGGGCCACGGCACATGCTTTTGTCCCGCCAGGAGCGATCTCCTTAGCCCACTGTGGCCTAGCCTGCCTTCTCTACACCTTTCACCAAATTGGATGGTTTTTTTAAAAATATTTTTTATTGATTTCAGAGAGGAAGGGAACGGAGAGAGAGATAATCATTGATCAGCCGCCTCCTGTATGGTCTCCGCTGGGGATGATCGAGCCCCCAACTGGACATGTGCCCCGACCGGGAATCGAACCATGACTTTCTAGTTCATAAGTCGATGCTCAACCACTGAGCCACGCCGGTTGGGCCAAACTGGTTTTTTCAAGTCACCAAATCCAGGAGACACTATCCTCATTTCCCACTGCCTCTCGAGGACAATCAGCACAGCCGGCCACTACCTTTTACTAAAACACTCCCGCTCCCTTAACACCGGCAATACCGCACAGACCTCCCGGTCTCTCCACACACTGCGACCGTTTCTCCATCTCCTTCGCTGGGTTGTCCTCAGTCCTGGGGTTTTCTCCTGCCCCTCAACTCTCCCCACCACGCGATCTCATTCATCCCTCCCCGTGACTTAAGAGTCGTCTCCATGTTCATCTCCTACCCAGACGCGTCTTCTAAGCCTCGGACCCACACACAGCAACTCCCTCCCTGCCAGCCCCACCGGGATCGCTCCCGGGCACGTCCAACCTTGAAGACCAGACGCGAACTCCTGGGACCCACTTCTGGTAACAGCTGACGGGCTTGCTGCAGACCAGTCCCTCCGCCAAGGACAACGGAAAGAGCCGAGCAAATTACAAGCAGCAACTGCCTGAGGCATCGGAGCGCTACCCACACAGCCAGGACTTAAGAGCCCCCTAACCTGAGCCACCTTTCCCCTCGACACATTTGCCGATTCACAGCAGAAACTGAGTGGTCAAAAGCTAAGCAGAACAAGTGGCTGAGAATCTGAGCAGGAGGCCGAATCTCCCGCAGTCTTAGGGGCTGCCAAGTAGAAGAGGCCCCGGAAACACCCTGGCTATGAGCTAGGCCCACGGGAGAGCTAGACCCTCGGAGAAGGGTAAACCAGGGTAACCCGATCCTCACAACCTCAAAGTGGTATTTCCCTCCTTAACTGCCTGCCAGAAGGCTCTCTGGAGGAAGAAGGCCAGAGTCTCAAATTCTCTCTTCCCATTGTCACACACATTGTGGCAATTTAATTAAAGCTTAACAGGCGCCCGGCCAGTGCTGCTCAGTAGTTGAGCACTGACCCATGAACCAAGAGGTCACTGGTTCAATTCCCAGTCAGGGCACATGCCCGGGGTTTCAGGCTCGATGCCCAGGTTGCAGTTTCTCCCTCATCGCTGTTTTTATCTCTCTGTCCCTCTCCCTTCCTCTCTCCCTAAAATAAATTTTAAAGACATTAAAAAAAAAGAGAGATAGAAGCTTAACAGGCAATCTAAAATCAAGATAATATGAATGAAAACCAAGGGTAAAATAGATAATGGAATATGTATCAGACTTACAATAATTGTAATTAATTAAAGTTGTCAAGATGAAATTTTTTAGCAGAAAAGAATTAAGAAAACTGAAAAAGACAGTAAGTGAAATTAAGAACTTAATCAACAGGTTTAACAGCAGGTTAGATAGAGCTAAAGAGAAAATTAATACACTGGAATATAGGTCAGAAGAAAATACACAGAGTGGAGAATGGAGAGATGGAGACAGGAGTCTGAGAGACATACAGGAAATGATGAGAGAGAGTCCAAGAAGGAGAACAGATAAGGAAAGTAGCGAAAGGAGAGATAATGACCAAGGATACTCCAAGTCTAATGTGCGAGCAAGTCTTGTCATGGTGCTGCCCAAAGCAAGAACCACCACCAGTCAACCCCAAGCAGCACAGACTCAAAGAAAACCACACCTGGACACATCACAGTAACACAGCTGAAAACCAAAGGCAAAGCAGCCAGAGACACAACGCCTTCAAAAGAACAAGGCAGCCCAGCCAGTTTAGCTCAGTGGACAGAGCTCCAGCCCGCGGACTGAAGGGTCCTGCATTCGATTCCGGTCCAGGGCACGCATCTTGGTTGCAGGTTCCCCAGCCCTGGTCTGGGCATGTGCCGGAGGCAACCAATCGATGTGTTTCTCTCACATCGATGTTTCTCTCTGTCTCTCCCTCCCGCTTCCACTCTCTCTAAAAAATCAATGGAAAAATATCCTCAGGTGAGGATTAACCAAAAAAATAAAAGTTGCTTCTAAAAAAAAAAAAGAAAAGAAAAAAAAGAACAAGACATACAGCTGATTTCTCAACAAAAACAACGGAAGCCAGAAGCCAAAGACAAGACATGTCAGAGCACCTACAACTGTACACCCAGTGACAATATCCTTTAAAGTGAGGGCAAAATAATGACATCTTGACAAGAAACACAAATGGACCCCCGAATGGCCTTCTCTCCATCGCTAAGCAGCAGCACCGCCCACAGACACAGCCAGAAACCTAGACATTGATTCCCACAGTTCCTTCACCTCCAACCTCCAAGCTGTCTCGTCCATTTGATTCTCCAAAAATACATCTCGTGGCTGGTAAAGCGATGCAAATTAAAACAGCCCATCGCTCTCACGCGCAGGCAAGTGCCAAGAGCCGATTAGCATGCTGAGGGCTCCCGGGGAGGAAGCAATCTGTCCGTATCTAGGGAAACCGAGAGCAAACCTGGAACCCGCAACTGCGATGCTAGAGACACGCTGGAGACGAGCTTTCTCGCTTTCGCGCCTCCGCAAAAGGAAGCGAAGCTGAGGGCCCACCTTACTGTTTGTAACAACAGCGCGTGATCAACACTAAAGTCCAATCCAGGGCGAGGTCAACAGAACGTTACGGTAGTTGAAAGAAAGAAACAGGGGCTACCACTCTCAGCTGAACCCCAGGCCGCCGGTCCTCCCATCCCTCCTCCAACCCACTGTCCGCTCCGTAGCCAGGAACACTTCTTAGAGGCTTTGTGCACGGGGTCTACGAACACGGCCCCTGAGCCCCAAATGCCTGGGTTCGAATCGCAGCTCCACCCCCTGCTGGCTGGGAAAGTTGAAGCAAGTCACTCAGCTTCCCCACGCCTCCGTGCTCCACTCCTTTCTGTGAATATTAAGAACCTAGGAGGGTTGCTTTGAAGAGTGAGCAGGTTAACTCTGTAAAGCACACAGGGCAGAACCCAGCACAGAGCAGGATGTATTAGCTACGGTCCCTGAAAGGTAATCAATGTCATTCTCCCGCGGAAGACCCTTCCCTTCTCACTGAAGCCACCTGAGGTGGCCCCGGGCCTGTCCCCCTCCCCCGCTTCATTCTCTGCTCAGGCCACACAAAGCTTCAAGCCTCTGGGCACACTCAGCTTCCTCCAGTCCAGTATCTGCCCTCAGCCCGGTCACTGTACCCTTCAGGTTGCATCTGAGAGGCTTCCCCCACCAGGCCTTCCCTGGCCACCTGGCTGTGCCCACACTTCTCCTGCCCCCCATGCCCACCCACCCTCACTCTCCCCTCAGCCCCTCACAGATTCCCTTCAACACACTCTGCATAATTTGCATCAGCTTTACATATCCCTTTCTGTCCCTCCCATCTAAACAGAAGCTCCATGCACACGGGCAATTCACCTGCCGTGTTCACAATGCTCCCTCCAGCCCAGCACAGGACCGGCATGGGTGGGGGTGCTGTCATACTCGCTGAGTAAGTAAACACTCCAGGAAAGAACGCTCTCAGCGCTCTCACAGCGCCTGCCATGTCACTGCGAACGCTCAAAGGAATGATGGTTATTCATGCCCTGTGCACAGTCTGGAAACACAACCCTGTCGTTATCACTGTCTACATGTTAAAGGGTGTTTTCTTACCAGTTACTGCTGCTCCGTGAAACGGTTTGCCCACTTGGGGAAAAGTAAAGGCAGACTTCAACTTCTTTCTATTTCAAAAAAATTTAAAACACAGAGCGAGAAGTTTCCTCTGCACCCACACTCCCACCTGCCCAGTTCCCATCACCCTCCCCAGCAAGTAACCCTGTTATTAGTTCCTTGTATAGCCTTCCCGAGAATTTGCATGCACTTCCCCTCTCTCCTCTCTCTTTCACACACACACACACGGAAATGGTAGCACACCCTGGACATTTTCCCACACTTGGCTTCTCTAACTCTAATAAATCCATACGAAGCCTCTGGCTCCTTTCCACAAGCTCCCCACCTGTGCACAGGAAGGGTTATCCAGCCAGTGTCCTGGGGGGCCCTCCAGTCACTTCCCACCGTTTACTGTCACCAACAAGGCAGGGAATCATCTCGTACCTGTGGTATCTCACACACATACACATATACCTGCAGGTTAAATTCCTAGACCTGGCTTGGCTGGGTCAAAGGATTTATACGTCTGTCTGCCACTTTAAAAGCTGCTGTCCGATGCCCCTTTATTGATGGGATTCACCCACAGAAACACAATTCCTCTGAGCAGCTGAAATAAGGGAATGTCATACAAGGAACTGGTTGCGCGCATGACGGAGAAGCTGGGAGTGAAACTGGAAATGGTAAGGAATGCACACATGAGCAAGAGCTGGACGCCCTGACCACCGCTAAGTTGGAGGGTCAGAGGGAGGAGGTATTTTCAAAGCTCAGGGCCTCGGTCAACTGGCCGCACGAGCTGGAGCCAAAGGAGACCGAGCAAAGGAGGGGCTCTGAGGCAGAACCGAGGCGAGAGAACCTGGGTTCTCCCTCCTCCTGCCAACCTCCCACCTGAGGCCCCACCGGCCAAGCCCACCCCAAGCCAGTGGCCCACGGGTTTGGGAAATGCTGCCTGCGGGGCCAGTCCCTCCCCAGGGGGAGGCAGGCCGTGGATCGGAGCCAACAGCACCAGGCTGGCGCTGCCTTCTTAAGAGCCGGAACTAATTTACACTCCTGTGGCCAACAGATGCTTTCAGACATGGGGGTTGTCGCTTGCCTGACAGGTGAAACCCGGACCCCCACCCTGTGGTCATGTATTTTATTGAGTGAGGCTGAGCATCTTTTCACGTGAGACACAGACTTAATCCTCATCTACACAGACTGGCGGGAGGCGGGGGGGGGGGGGGGGGGAAGAGAGAAAACCCACAAAAGTTCTTCACCTCCTCTGCCACAGATGGTCCATTCAGGAACATCAATCAGACAGATTCCCAAACTGAGCACCATGATGCTGGCAACGAGCCCAACCGGCCAGTCACCTGCCAAGTAGAGACACATCTCAAGAACCGTTTTAGAAAAACTGAATGGCAACCAAGCCCCAAAGGAACCAGCCATACCTTAACTGCACCCTGCACGCACTGTAAGCAACAATGCGTTCTTGTAATCTCATCCCCCCCACTTCCTCCTTGGCACTGCCTTCCAACCATTCGTGCCACCCTCCCCTCTCCTTATCTCACCCTGAGAGAACAAATAATAATACCCTGGACCAAATTTAAATTATGAAAACAGCAAGCAGGAGTCATTTTTAAAGTCTTTTAACCCAACCAGCACATTAGCAAAAAGCTTTTAAGTTATCTGTCGCCCCGGCTGTAGCTGTTTGAATAGATTATTTACCCCGTCTTGTAAACAACCCGAGACTGACTTCCCGTACACAGGGCTGTGCGATTACTCTGAAATATACCCCCCAAAAAAGTGATGTTTTACAACTGCTGGCAAATGACTTTATGGCCTTTCCGAAGGCCGTACTTTATTTTCTGAAACATGAATTTTATTGTTTGTTTGTTTTTAACGTATTTCTTTTTTATTTTTTTTATTCTGTTTTATTGCTTAAAATATTACAAAGAGCAGTACATACGTCTCCTTTTAATTTTCCCCCTTGACCTTCCTGCGACCTCCCCTACCCCCCAGTGTCTTGTGTCCATTGGTTATGCTTATATGCATGAATACAAGTCCTTTGGTTGTGATCTCTTACCCCCAACCCCTAAAACTTGAATTTTAAAGCAAAGCATTATTTTTGGAAATATAAATGGTAGTAATAACCAAAGAAATGTAAAGATGTTCATTTCAAACTCTCCAGTAATCAAGTTATATATGAGCACACCTAATGCACACAATCATCACTTATTCAAAAACCTACTTATCCTAAGACTGCCAAACATATTTTTAAGTGTCTTCCGTAATGCAAGGAAGAAAGATCTTAATAAACCGTATCAGTAAAGGTTCAGTGTTGTTTTCCAGGCCCTAGCATGCTGCCTGGCATCTTAGTAGACAACCAGTAAGTTACCTGTTCATTCTCGACTGTTCCATGAGCTGGATTAAATCATACATTTAAATAATCAGACCCTTTTCCTACTGCAGGGAACATTTTTTATAAGTTCTTTCGTTCAAATTTCAAAGTAATACACACCATTCAGAAACTTGAGTACAAAAACTAAGTAAATAAAACACAGTATCACTATTTTTACACTGTTTAGACCATGATACATAGAACTGCTTTATTTTTTAATGATTGTAAAACAATTCATCCAATAAACTCCCCACAGCCTACCTCACCCGTCTCCTATTGGGCACTGCTGTTTCCAATTTTCTACTATTAGAGTGCAATGCACATCTTCCCACGTGAAGTCTTTCTTCTGAATTTCAAGATTGTATTCCCAGGAGAGACAGGAACCGCCCCAAGAAAGTCTTAAGACTTTGGGTACTTTTAACACCATCCTTTGCTACAGTACTAAAGACCTGTAAACTGCTGGGCCCACCGGCTTCCTTTTCTAAATCTTTAAACCTACTTTTACTTTCAAGCCTTCTGCATTCCTTGACTCAAAGAGTCAGAAACATCTCCCAAACAAAACCGCCAACAGGGTACAGATCTACTAGTATAACATGGTAATAGCTAGTAACCGTGTATGGTGCCAGGTGGGCACAAGAATGACCAAGGGATCACACTTCGTAAATTATATAACTGCCTAACCCTATGCTGTACACCGGAAACAAATACAAAATACTGAATACCAACTGTAATTGAAAAATAAAAATTTGGGGGGGAAAGGTACATCATGTTTTTTTTTTTTCAAATATATTTTATTGATTTTTTACAGAGAGGAAGGGAGAGAGGATAGAGAGTCAGAAACATGAATGAGAGAGAAACATCGATCAGCTGCCTCCTGCACACCCCCCACTGGGGATGTGCCCGCAACCAAGGTACATGCCCTTGGCCGGAATAGAACCCGGGACCCTTCAGTCCGCAGGCTGACGCCCTATCCACTGAGCCAAACCGGCCAGGGCGGTACATCATGTTTTTAAACTTGGAAATGGGTGAAATGTTTTTATTTTGAAATCCAGATTCCCCAAAGGAAATTTCACCACCGGGTCACACACATCTCAGCCTTTTTCAAGCCAAGACTGACTGACGATTGTCCACAGTTCCTAAGATTGAGCACATAAACAAAAATAAAACTTTGTAAATTTGTTTTTAAAAAAAAAATTTTTTTAAAAAAGATGTTTGTCAAACATCACAAAACTTTTTTTAATATATAAATAGAAGTAAAAGTCACCCATAATACACACCACCACCACCCAAAAAGTCACCAAGCCAGCTGGCCACTTGGCCTCAAACGCCCATCGCCTCCCTATTCCCGCTGCTGGTCTTGATTTTCTCACCAGGAGCAGCCGCTGGGAGCCGTGCTGCACCCCCACTCCGAGCGCCCCAGGCTCGGGCTGCAGACGGGCCACCTGGCGGGAGGGTTGCAAGGGGGCGCCTTCCCGGGGCGCCTTCTTTCCCGAACAGCAGCCCCCGCGGAGCCACTCGCTCCCCCGGCTCCGGCCGCCCCCTCCCCGCCCGCGCGGGCCGCGTGCGCGCCGGGCGCCGACCCACCCGAGCGGCGCGGAGGCTCTGAAAGCACCTGGACCGGCCGCTTCCCCCGGAGCCCTCCGGGCTGCCGACTGGCACCGGCAGCTGCTCGCCGGAGCCTGTAATTAAGGCTTTTTTGTTTTGTTTTTTCAAAACGCTCCCTTATGACAAGGGGTTCCGGCGGTTCGGTCTGTCAGCAGAAAGGAGGGCTTGAGTCAAAATACAGAGCTCCTCCACTCCGGGTCCCCCCGGAAAACTGCGGGCGAAGTGGGGGGGACCCTGTGCTTCCCAAACCCAGGACCCCCCCCCCCCCCGGGGGGTTTTTCTTTTTTTAAGGGGTAAATCCGAACCCGAAACGCCAGGCATCTGTTTTTCCCCGAGGGATTTCACGCCAGAAGCGGCTCCCCGGGGGGGAGGGGACCGGGGGGGGAAGTGGGGGCCCCGCTCCGGGGGGGGGGGTCCTAAACGAGGGTTTCGCCAATTTGGCCGGGGGCCCCGGTTCCGAAAAAAGCGGGGGCTTCCCGCGGCCCCTTTTTGCCGGAGCGACCTTCCCCGGGCACTTTGGGAACCCAACGCCGAGGGAAAACGGCCCCGAGGCCCAACCTTTTTCCCCGGCGCGGGGGCCCTGGAACCCCGAGGGCCCCCAATTTAAAAATTTCTCCCTGGCCCCCCTCCCGGGGGGTCCCCCCCTTTTCCCACCCTTTGGGAAAATGGTTAAAGGGCCTTCCCCGGACCGTGGTTCCGGAGGTGGGGGACGCCCCTGGTGAAAAAAGGGGGAAAGGCAGCCCCAAATGGTCCGCGGCCCGCGGAAGGGACCCCTATGACCCGCGAAGATACCGAGGCGTGTTCCCACGATTTAGGGGAAGCCCGGCTCGACCCTATCAGAGTGACGCAGACGCTTTATTCTATTTCTGCGTTGTCTGTAACACAGGGGGCGGGATGTTCGGAAGAGATGATACTTGGTT